ACCATTTGACGATTGTTTGTCTTGTAATAATTAAGAAGGTGGCCATATTCAAGTCATAACATGTAGTTTTCCATAATTTTTTTTTTGCATTTAAATTTAAGGTGTAATTTCACAAACATTTTTTAATATTACAAAATCAGTGTCAAGTGAAAGTATCCCTCAATAATATAATATAATATAATATAATATAATATAATATAATATAATATAATATAATATAATATAATATAATATAATATAATATAATATAATATAATATAATATAATATAATATAATATAATATAATATTTTGTATAAGTCTTCTCTTTTTGTATAAGTCTTCTCTTGAACTCATAATATATTTAAATATCTGGACAATTCTTCTTGAATATTATATTTGACAAATAGAAGTAGTTTTTTGGTATTTTGATCCGAAATGTGTTCTGTGGGTTACATGGGGAATATTTGTACCAAGTTGAAGACTTTTCCCTTGAATTTTAAGACCTGCGAGCTGTTTTACAGTGGCACACGTATAATAATTTTGAAAATATAATTATTGATATGTAGCAGTCCTGTTCAATTTAACAGCAGAATAAAACTTACAATTTGTCCATCATAAGGGTTGTAAAACCGTTCCAGTAAAGACACCATGGTACTTTTACCACATCCACTGGCACCAACTAAAGCTACACGTTGATTTGTATTCACATTAATATTAATGCCTCTTAACACTTTAACATCAGGTCTACTTGGGTAATTAAAATAAACGTTTCTGTAAGTCACTTCACCAACAATGTGGTCCTAATAAAAAAAAAAAAATTATGTACTGTAAAAGGATTAATTATTCACTGGGTTTTAATTTTTCTTATTTCGCTGACTGGAAAATGCGTTAAATTAAAACCCAGTGAATATGTAAAATTTAGCATAGAACACATTATCTTAATGATAAGACCGTGAATTTAAAACCCAATGAATATGCCTGAAATGGTAAATCAGCGAAATTTAAGCCCAATGAAAACTAGTCATTTTACAGTATTAAGAAAATTACAAGTTTTTGGAACACTGGTACATGTGTAGAAACACTAACACTGTTTAAATCAAGGAATTGCCATATTTGGAACATCAAATATAATAATTTGCCAATTCAAATGCTTCATTTACATATGTTCATCATTTAATTTACAAATAATGGTCATTTGCATAATTAACTAACATAAATTCCACAATATTCTAAACTTTATTATTTTTGCTGCCAGAAACATATATGATTTATTTTTAATACAGTTTGTTACAAGATTTTTGGGAACTTGTATCCACTAATTTGTGAGCTGCTTAAAATTGTGTTCACAATTTGTATTAAATGTACTATAAAACTATTTATTTTCACTGGCATTTAATTTCACTATTTTCATGTTTTGAGCAATTTCACTGGGTTCATTAACTTGGCAGGGAAACAATAAGTTCTTCATGTTCATGAGAATTTAGTTTAGCAAATATTACATATCAACAAAAATAGTGAAATTGAAAAGCAGAGAATAATTCTTGTGATGCAAACCAAATCACACATTCTAATGTACAGTGTTGCATCCATCATTGTGACCAGAATAAACATTACCGTTGCAAAATAAAAATTGTTATAATCCCGACTGTACTTACTGGTTTCATGCCATCCTGTGAATAGATGTCTATTGGTGGAACCGTGTCAAATAATTTGAATATCAGACCGGCTGAATGCTTGGCTTTTGAGTAATCAGGAAGGAAGGAAGCTGATTGGCCGAGAGCCATACCAGCAAATGAAACCGCAAAGAAGACCCTGTAAGTAATTTTAGTTAAAATAATATCATTGTATAATTAATTCATTCAAACTTTTAATTTGTAACTAGAAATAGAGTATTGCTGAAAAAACAGTGAAGTATAGTGAAGCCCAAACAAATATTAACATTTTTGATCATCACCTGTATCAGTTAAAAACATGGGCTTCTCGTTTTTTTGGATATTTTGACAGAATTTAAAATAATAGGCTGCCTGTGCATGTTGATTTCAGAAAACAGATTGACCAGAAACATAATTTGCTTTTCTTTCTTTCTTTGGCCTAATTAAGCATTTCAGTTGCAACTGTTTCCAACCTTTGTACATACCCAGTAGTATCACAACTTACTTGAAAACATCTGCCAGTTCTATTTCATCAATACCGACTAAAAAAGCTCCAAATCTAAAAGCACCAGCATACAGCAGTAGCATTATGCCTTGAGCAAATCCAAACGATATACCATAGACATGAGCATTTCTCATTGCATTGCTGTAAAGTCAAGTAAATTAGTGAGTTATTAATTTTCATGGTTAATTACATAATTTGCATAATTATTGTTATCATCTCAATTAAATTGCAGTAGTAAAAACAATTGTTTTTTCCAGAGCACAGAAAAGTATAAAAATGAAAGTAGTTCTTTTCAAGTGCACAAATTAAAATAATAATGTTTTTAAAATTAAAACAAATAAAAAGAATGCATAGTTTATTTTTTTATTTTTTAGGAATAAAAACTGAACATCAAACATTAACTCGATTAGATCCAGCATCAGTCAGTTGGGCAAGAAGATCATGTGCTAAGCATATCGAAAGAGGATGCTAATGGACAGTACATACATTTCAGCCAAAAAAATAATGAATTAACATATTCATAAAAATAGTTAAGATATACATACAAATAGGGTTTTTTCAAATGTTTACTGTAAGTTTCATAAAATGTTGGTTCCCGAGTCAATGACGCTACTGTTCTCATATTTTCAATTGCTTCAGATGCTGTCTGTAACAAGGAGAACAAAAATGCAGTTAATTTAGTGGTTAAAAATTGAAAAGAAATCTGACAAGTGGAAAAAATCATTTTATCCATAAATGACAAAAATATTCCCAAAAAATAGAAGTTATATGCCACCAGTTCTCTCTTTTCATCACAAATCCACAACAGTCATGTTTATAGTCTGCACTTTCCTTCAGAAGACTGGGATAAAAATAGCCATATTTTTTGAGTAAAAACTGAAAATTGATTCAAATTTTATCTGTTGGCTTCAATATTAGGGTTCATATCCAGAAATATTGAAGAAAACAAGAAAAATTTTGGACAAGAAAGTCAGAAATTCACAGTTCACAGCGTTCTCCAGATATAATACTTATATCAAAATAGAATGTCTCACCTTTCCAGCATTTTCCAATAATTCTTGATCTTTCTTTTGGTGACCATGAACAGCCTTCATGTTGAGGAGTCCGGCAAGTCCTACCAATGGCACGCAAGCAAGCAATGCTAACGCCAGCTGCCAGCCATATATGAAAGCTATTACCATAGCAGCAACCATAGAGAAAAACGCTTGTAATATTGTACCAATGCGAACACCTGTAGCCTGAAAATTGTCAATCACACTGATATAATCACTTACTAACTTTTAACCTGTAGACTTTTTCTCCCAAAATTGTGGTGCAAACTTTTCAGTATTTGTTATGATTTTTTGATCAAATGGACTAATTTTCTATTGGCTAGATGTCTTGAAAAACAAGCCATGCATGGCACAGTCCCAGTTAGTTATCAAATTTAAGATATATAGTTTTGTTTATAGTAATATAGCTGTAATATAACCATGTCAGGAATATGATTATGATGATTGTTTAACATTAAAATGATTGACATTTGTATCTGATCGTCAAACGAGTATTGAGAGATATTGTTCTGGAACAGCATTAATTAAAACAAAGTCAGCCATTTTGAATCCGATCTGAAAAATAAAATGGCATGCATCAGGAACACATAATGTCTATTGTATGTACCATGTTTGAACAAAATCCATCCGTAAATGCCAGAAATGCTTGATGTTTGATGATTTTTTTAGCACAAAAATGGCCACCATTCTGCCATTTTTAATAGGATCGTCAAACCAATATATCTGTATATATGAATATTTAAAATTTGAACATATATGCATATGTATAATATCATGTATGATGTATGTGTGAAGTTTGATTGTGATTGGTCCAGGCATTTCTAAGATACAGGCACGGATGCACGGAGGTCAAAACATAAGTCCCCGTTTTCGGACTGCATCCGAACGGGGACTAATAAAACAAGCAGCCGCTCGCCTAAGATAGCTCCGTTGTTAACAATGCACATTTCAATTAAAGAACTAAAAATATCATTAGAAAATGAACAAATCTGAGAGAGGTCCACCTGTAGTACCTATATATAATATCAAAGCAATCAGACTTGCGTTTTTTAACAAGAAGTCAAAAATTTTACCAAAAACGACAAAAATATTTATCAAAATTAGAGAATTGAAGATATCATAACAAAATGAACAAATCTGAGAGAGGTTTTCAAGAAGACGTCGAAAAAATAAAATAACGACGGCCATCGATGTGCAATTACTCATATGATAATCTCCGCTCGACAAAGTCGACAGTGGAGCTAAAAGTTGACAGGAATGGTGACAGACAATCACTCATATGAAAAGTCGACAGCGTAGCTAAAAAAACAATTATGAGGTTTCCATTTCATGAAATATGTTCTCCCATAAAGAATTGCATATATGTGCAGTAACACGCTCAGTAGTTGGCTCAAACTACCTTAGCAGAGTAGTATTAAGTGCATATAGTTACATAACATAGTGGGGAAATAAATAACTTTTGTTAACATTCTATTCAAGTGTTTAATAGTACCCAAATTTTGGATTCATGAAGTCCAGTTATAGAATATGTCTGTGAATTAGTAGAGAGTTTGTCTTATGACACAAAATAATCTAATCTAGAGGTTAACCAAAAGTACATATATACCACGATTTAAAGCAATTGGAATAGAAGTCTTTAAGAAGTTATAAATACATTTTTGAGCAAAAATTGTAAAAATATTCATTAAAAATAGAGAATTGAAGATATTATCATGCAATGAACAAAATTGTTGGAGGTCCACCCAAGGACGATGGACGAACCAATCACGTACATGAACAGCTCCACTCTGTCATCTTGAGAATTCTAGCAGCAAAAAGGAAGCTATTACATTTTCTCTTGAGTCAAAATGTTTTACACTGCATACAATATAACAGATTTGCACCAACCACTTGGAATATGTCATATAGCATACGATTATAGGTTACTATATACAATGACAAGCCATGCTTGTAAATGACAAGCCATGCTTGGCACAGTTCCTGATAGTTATCAAATTTAAGATCACCAATAATATAGTTTTGTTTATATTTGTTTGAACATAAACATGTCAGAGATTTGGATCAAGAAGCTGATGCTTGATTATGATGATTTTTTAACATTAAAATGATTGACATTCATTCATTTTGTATCTGATTGTACTTGTCTGTGTTGAGAGATATTGTTCTGGAACAGCATTAATTAAAACAAATGGCCACCAGTCGGCCATTTTGAGTAGGATCGTCAAACTAATACATAATCTATGTCATGAATATATAAAATTTGATCATAATCAGTCATAGCATGTCAGAAATATGGCACTTGAACAAAATGGACGCCTATTGGCAATTTTGAATCCGATCTGAAAAACAAAATGATGTGCATCAAGGTCCCGTAATGCCCAATGTATGTACCAAGTAAATTTGAACAAAATCCATCTGTAATCAGCCAAGATCCTTTTCGGACAGTGTCTGAACGGGGACTAATAATGACTGTTTTTTTGTTATATCAGTGGAACAAATATATAACTATATAATAAATATGCAAATTAGGATAATTAATAAGCTTTGAATTGTGCCAAAAACTAACAAGGTCTTGACACGTAATCATACTTTTTTCTGATTTTAATGACTGCACGATTCTAGAATTCATAGAGAAAGGTGAAACAAAATACATTTGACAGTTCTTACATTTTTTATATTAGATGCATCAGTAGCCAGTCTGGTTGTCAAGGCACCAGTATTGTGCCGTGGATCATCAAACCATCCGATGTCCTGCAATGCAATAACCCATTGAAGATATTAATAAATCGTTTGATCGTTATGCAACACAAGTAGATAACATATTTGTCAGTACTACTTGATTAAGATAGTTAAAAATTGTCTTGTAATTCGGGAATTCCCTGAAAGTTACTATAAGCATGGTATATAACCTATATATCATCTGAAAGCTTTGATATAGGCAAATACCTGACAGCATGTATCGCTATTGACAACACTGTTAACACTTCCTGTTATGCAAATGAAGCATGAATTGCACAAAATGTAGGATAGATGATCAAATCTGTTTTCCTTTGCCTTTGTTTTCTAGCTATGACAAAACAACTACAGGTATGTTACCAAAATCTGTTGCCAATAGGATGTATGTAGTTATTTATTCACAGCTAGATAAAAAAAACTAGACACTGTTCTCTAGCCTACAGCATTATCAATGTTCTGTTAAGTTTATTCATGAGATTAGAAATGTGAAATTAACCATGAGGTAATCCCTTAAACAAACATTGATACAGCATATGTACTATTGTACTATATATAGGTTGTTATAGTAGCATGCTAAGTAACTTTTAGAGAATGTCTCAATCAAGATCAATTTTTAATCCACTTTAAACTGCCTTATGAGTCACATAATGGCACCGAGTTGAGCTATCATTTATTCCAATTATAGATCAAGTCAGTAGTTAAAAATTTTTTGAGATACATAGGACCAAATTCACAACATGACTTAAACATACCTGACGTAAAATAGCTTTAAACGATTTTGATCTCATGCGCAGTGTTAATTTTTCACCGGATACACCAAACATCCAACTGAAAAATAAATTTGACACTCCAAGAACACCACCGAGAGCTAAAAACATCAGAGCCCAGAACATAGCTTCCTTTCGCATCTCATTAGCATCTGTAAGCATGAATACCTAAATAGAAAATAGACGTTGATGGAGATTTGGTAAAGTGAATATATATCTGTACAGATTATAAAGTTTAGGCTTTCAGACAATCAGTAATATGTACAGTTCAGCTGTCAACAGAGCAATAAAATAATACAATTTTTAAGATAACACAGATTTTCTAAAAAAAAAATAAGTGAGAATTAATAACAAGAACAAATCAAAGAAAGCTTAGAAAGAACTCCCATGTGCTGAGAGTATTGGAGACACATTAAATATAATTTGAAATTACTTAGCTGAAAATTAATTATGCAAATCAGAAAATTAACATGAACAGATTTGATTGTAAAACTAATGAGGTCTGCGCAATGTAACAAA